GGTTAAAAAAAATCTGCTAATTTCTGCCAGCCTCTTCCTTTTCTAAGTCTACCTCTGTTTTGTTTCAGTGAAGAAATCAGTAAAGGAATATTTTTTCTGGTTCATTTTACGTTATCTGCTGTTTTTTCCCCCAAGGATTACATTCAGCAGATGTGTTAGGGTCACATGCCATTTTCATACATTTACATATGAGACAGAGTCTTTTATACTGGTCTGATGATGTGTTTTTTTTTCCACAATCCCGGGTTTTGGAGTCACATATTGAAAACTGGGTGGCTCGGCGGGGCAGCAGTGAGCATTGCTGCCTCAATGCACTAAAATCCTGGGTTCATTTCCAGACCTGGGGCGCTATCTGCATGGAATCTGTATGTTCTTCCTGTGTTCGCGTGGGTTTACTCCGGATACTCCGGGTTCCTCCCACAGTCCAAAGACATGCTGTTAAGTAAGTTGGCTTCTATGAATTTGGCCCTGGTGTAAGTGTGTGTGAGTTTGTGTCTGTGTGTGCCCTGTGATGGACTGGCATCTCATCCAGGTTGTATCCTGCTTTGCACCCCCTGCTTGCCAGGATAGGCTCTGGCTCCCCCGCGACCCTGTACTGCATAAAGCGGTTCAGAAAATGGATAGATGTTGGAAACAAAGAAACTGAAATATGCAGGTATGAAAGTAAAATATTCAGATAGTTCAATTTGTAAAGGAACATACTACTCCAGTTGAAGGTTATGCTTTACGTGTGTATGTTTCTGTGTTTTGCTGAGCACCTACACACTTGCTCCGAAATCAGGGAGGAACACAACTCTTCTACAAATGTCTACATGTGTTACAGAGCTTGTAGCATGCTTAAAGCTGAAAGGGTACATGGAGCCTCTCTGCACCTTCCCATTAACTATCTGTGTACAGCGGTCATTGGAAAGATGTAAAGACACATTTTCCACTCCAAATTACAGTAGGTGAGTTGCATAATAAAAATGAATTGGATGCTCTAAAAAGTAAAATACTTAGATGTAGATTCTTCCTGTAAAAACTGTGAGGATGTCAGCAAATGTGAAATTTCTTCTGTAGTAATGGGAAGTTTTAAAGTGCTGATATGCTTTAAATTCTCTCTCTGTGAACAGTTGTAAAAAGGTCAATTTCATGCAAACTTAGTTTTAACTTATAGTCTATACTCCTACCATATTTTATATTTTGCTGAAAAGTGAACAATGCATATTTATGTTGCTGCAATGAATTATTCCTGGGAATAGACTTTACATACTGCTTTCCAATCATGAGCCTGTCTCCCTGAAGTGATCAATTTCACAAAGAAAAATCCTCATTCTGGCAATTCAACCACCTCAGCAGGAAGGTAATATTTACTAGATTAAATCCTAACCTTGCGTACACTACAATGCGGTAAACTGATATTTTCTAGGCATTTCTGTTGTTGATATTTTTTAAAGGACAATTGGTTGTGTATTTGTACCATCCATTATTCAGCAAAACAGGAAGGAAGAAGGATTCCACTTGATTTATATTTAATTAAACAGGATTTTCCAAATTTACCTGCGACCAATAGATATCTTTTCTTCATTGATATTGATTTAAACGAGGTCTGATTCTTTTCTGATCCCAAAATACACTTCACAAACCCAAGTGCTTTAAAAGTGTACATTAAAGATATACATCTAATGACAATTTCAGTCAGGGCCTACAGTGTACATGTGGGGCTTAGACATTTTATCTTGACTTATTGATTAGAAGGGAGGTTTTTTTTTGCCCTGCTCCTCAATTCCCTGAAGCAGACAGAGACATAATAGTGTAATTAGCACAGAACCTTTCTGAGGTGAATACTGCTTTCTTTTTCTGTTCTCTGAAAGCACTTTTTACTTACTTTTTATATGAAGAACTTATCAGTTTTTTCATACACTTTCAATTTAGAATTGGAGATTGTTAACCAACTCAATTGACTGCCACTACCCTTGTGCCTTAGGCAGAATGCTATTTATCTAAAACGTGCATCTGTTGGAGTTCATTGGGTACCCAGGAAGACTCTTGGATTGCATTTGCTTGACAGTCTAAGATACTCAGGTCGATGACAACAAATTTAAATTGCATTCAAATGCTGCTTGAAAAATCCCAGTCACATACAGCAAACTGTTCAGCCCCTGCATCGGTTGGCAAAGTCTAGAATTTCAGCCTTGACTTCTACAGGCCAGCTACACCGACCAAAAGTTTTCTTAGCTGATTCATAGAAATAATTTGATTGTCCATTGCATTTTCTGGGGGATCAATCCTTCATTTCAGGTTCATACTATTGTACTAACCAATGATGTGTCATGCACTGCTCTTCTTTCCTCTAAGAATGAACACTGTGGGTTTCAGCATCTGAGCCACAGACCTCACTGGACTTTGTAACATTGCAATGTGACTGCTTTTCAGTCATCATTTATTCTCTACATTCACTTCTCTTCTCCTTTGAAATCAACTGTTGACAATGAGCTAGAAATATCTTTTATTGAAAGTTATATTTTGAAAGTAAAGGAAAGAAGCAGTCAAAAGCAGTATAAATAGTTTGGGTCTGATTGATGAGTGGCTTTTTCATATGAATGTTTTCATCCCAATAGGGAAGTAATCACTACAGTATGTACTGTATTTATCTTTTCATGTTATCGCCAATATAACATGCCTATAGAAATTTCCCAAGTTCTGAAATGGTAAAGTTATTCTCATATTATCTTAGACAATAATACCCAGATAGCCACAATTTGTCAGCATATTTTTTAAAGAATAAGCACCATAACAAGAATTTTACTAAAATAAATCCATTAATTCAATTCTTAAATTAAAAGTGAAGAATTTCATTTTAATTGTATCTGGGTTTTTTTGCTACCAGACCTTTTCTACTGATTTGAATTTTCCTAAGGCAATAAAAGGAGAGGCATGAAAGTGATTCTGATTACCAAATAATCAAAAGTCTTTCTTTCATTTGTTGCCATTTTTATCTTCTTAAAAGATCACTTTATTAGCCATATACAATTTATTGCATTAGGAATTCATCTTTTTGCATAGCCCAGCTTGCTCTCCATGAGACACAAACACACAGACAGGGAGAGAAGCTTGGGGTCAGACAGCAGGGTCAGCCATTGTACAGCGCCCCTGGAGCAGTTGGGGTTAAGGACTCAGAGGCCCAACGGAGTAGGATTCCTCTGCCGGCCACAGGATTTGAACTGGCAACCTTCCAGCCACAGGTGCAGATCCTTTAGCCACAGAGCCATACTGTAGCCCCGCCCATCTGCTCCATTCTGTCAGCAGTCAAAAAGTATGCCATACAATATAATTACAAAAAGAGTAAAAAAAAAAAACACATTCAAATTCTGAAAATTCAGTTCTGCCTCTGGGGTTGAAAGAGCTGAATCAAATGTCATTTAAACTCATTTCATCAGATAAGACAATGCTGTGAAGTTTGAGTAAAATAATTGAGACTGTACTACATTTGTGAATAAAAATAATTCTTAACTGAAGACAGGGAGGGATGACACCAATAAAGTCAGTTTAACCCAGGCTGTTGTAAATCATAATTTATCTTGTCTCAAAAATTATGTACAGTACAGTATATATCTTCAGAGTAAGCCTCTGTTTCAGTGTTTCTCGTATGCATCCCTCCTCCAGCCTATCTCCTCCCATTCATCCACCCCTCAGTCACTCCTCACTCTGCACAAGGTCCCAGGGTTCTCGTTCTCTAGCCAGGGCCAGCCTCAGCCAAAGCCATTAAGACAAGTTTCCCTTTACCTGGCCAATAAGCACCCTCACACCTAAACATTCAATGAACTCCTCAGACACATCTAATTCCTGGGTGTTGTCATTATTCATGAATCTCAATATAAGAACAGTTTTAATTCTACTGTGTTTGTTTCATAGGAAGATAGATTGCTATATAGATATATTAATTAAATTCAAAGAGGCTTTTAAAGTAATATTATAGTATTTTCTTCATGCTTACATTGTTATGACATGGTAATATGTTTAATATTATTTTCCCATTTCTAATTTAAAAACGTCTGTGTTAATTCATTGATGCAAATACTGTACATGAAAACACTGTATTCTCTGTAGAATTCAAGGCATTTATATGCACATATTTGTCATAAGGAATGTGTTGCAATTTTAGTTGATGGTATGACTGCACAGTACTTCATATTAGACTGAAGAGTTTGGGACTGGGGACAAGCTGCAAAGGAACAATAATTCCATACGAAAAAACTAAAATAAAAGCTAAAAAAAATCACAATGTTTCTGCTGTGGACCCTTCCACACACCTGTAGGAGACTCAACAACCAAAATGCTATATTACTGTATTTCTTCTTTCATTTTACTTTTTAGAATGGAAGTAACATCCTCTTGTTCCTTTGATATTAGACATTCAACTGAAAAGCAAAATTATCATCTAACTAAAGACAGTGTATGCACTAAAAAAAATAATGAAGAGAAGGATGTTGATTTTTTCAGTCTGTTAATGTGATGTTTTGATCATCATACAGTATCTGTCTGATGAATTCTGGCAGGAACCTCTCTGAAGCAAACACCCAAAAGCACAGCGTGGCTGCTAAGTACGATGTCATCACCCTGCTGCTATGGTTACCCACAGAATCATAAATCAAACAAGACTGTATAAAAATGTCTTCTTGCCTTTAGGTACTGTACCGTTGAGGCAAAACACAGATTTTGAGGTTAAAACAGAAGTTCTCCCATATAGCAGTACATAAATCCAAATTTGCCTGTGGTAACAAAAGTAATGCACTAGGTTTATAAAACCTGATATGCTGCTCTTCACTTCAGGTGACAGATGAAAAGGCTTCACAAAAAAATGAAGGTGGCTAAAAGAAACTGGAAAGCCCAGTGCAGATTTCAAACCAAAGATAATTGCCTTGGTTTTGTGTTGATAGTTTTTGTTGCAGCTCATAAAAGCACTTGAGACCAATTATTTATGAATTTTACAAATGATTGCTGTATGTTTCACATTACAGGTGTGTGGAAACAAAGGATGGGTTTTATAATGCCAGGAGGAAGAAGAGGGGCAGACAGGAGCTGAACGATTGCCACAAAAGAACCTGAATCTTGCCGTTGGTCTGACATCTTCAGGTACCTCATTGTTCATGTACAAGAGTCTGTGCTCTGTGCCTTTTCAGATATTTAAAGAGTTCTCACTTCATTGTGTGATGATTTTTATTAGTTTAGACATGTTTTATTATTTAGTTTTAACTCTAGCTTAAAGAGAATTTAAAATGATCAGCAGTGGCATTCTGTTAGATGCACTCTGGTCTATTTAAATGGGATCAACTCGGAGACCACATGCTTTTTCCTTTGACAAGCCTAAATAAATAATGCAGAAGACTCATTAGAAACTTCAGTCCATTCTTCGTAATGGAGTTGCTGTGAGCGTTTTTGTGGATTGTGGTGGCGTGATGGTGGTTGAGTGTTAAGACATTTGTATATCTGTAAAGAGCACAACAGCAGCCTGACTTTGTACTGTACATGTACTGACATTACAGATATGAAGTGCTCTTGCCAAAAAAATTTAATCTAAGATTTTAAATTGAACTATACTACTGTATCTTAGAATTTCAAATGAATGATATAAATGCTGTATAAAACAAATTATGTACTGTATGTCCACTTTCACAAAATGCCAAAATTTAGTGAAGTTAATCAGAATTAAATGTAGAATGTTAAATTATTTGTGTATAAGTATTTATTATTTACTTTAACAAGTAATTTTTTGAAGATATTAGGTAGTATATATAAAGTCAAATAAAAAAGACCATATTATTCTATCTGCTCAGATTAATGTGTTGATGAACATTTGCAGATGTGAACTTTCTCCTGCTGCAATGATTAAGTATAATATTATGGAAAAATGTCAAATCCTGTATGTCAACAACCAGAAAGTCAGAATTAACCATTGCTAGTCCAACTTAGCTACTACATTAACAAATAGTCTCACCATTTAAAATAACATTGAGCGTTATGGAAATGTGGAAAGAATGCTTGATTTCCTTCAAAAATTGCTCTTATTTGATGGATATTTTTTGTCATCACTTTATGAAGATTCCAAGTTTCATTAGTAGTGTTCGATGGAAATTTTTATCATGACTAGGGAATACTGGTTATGTATACTAAAAGCTAAAAAGAGATCTAATCCTTAGTCTGATCTACAGTAACTGCAGGGAACAGTGAATATTTATGCACAATATTTATATACATTGTTTTGACCTCCTTATATCTGAGATCTGAAATTAATTACTAATGAATAGACCTGTCCCCTAATGTACCTTTTTACCTTTTATAACAATGTAATATTGATAAATTATGCAAAAATAAACTTCATCCACCCATTTTCTACATGCTTTATCCAATACAGGGTCACAAGGGAGCCAGAATCTATGTCCCCTATGCCTAATTGAAAAATTATACTGTACTAAAACACATACCAAGGAAAATACAGTAATATACAACTAATGCTAAAACTTATTTAAAAATGTATTAATAAGACCTTTAACTAAACAAAGTTCAGTCTTCTCAACACATTGATTCACAAAGTGCATATATCCAATTGTAATATATTTTTAATATTCAGTAGGCTAAATGTTTTTGAAGCCATTTATTAAAAAATGTCACCCTTATAAATAAAACTCCCATCACCATTTCCAGGTTTCAAGTACAATTCAAGGCATCTAGCAAAGCAGCGCAAATTAGTTTTCTACTGTTATGTCTGCCACGAAGCGTTCTTTCAGGACTTCTCTAGGGAGAAGCAGGTGTGAGCCTGGTCAGTACCTGGATGGGAGACCTCCTGGGAAAAACTAAGGTTGCTGCTGGAAGAGGTGTTAGTGGGGCCAGCAGGGGGTGCTCACCCTGTGGTCCACGTGGGTCCTAATGCCCCAGTATAGTGATGGGGACACTATACTGTAAACAGGTGCCGTCCTTCGGATGAGACGTAAAACCGAGGTCCTGACTCTCTGTGGTCATTAAAAATCCCAGGGCGTTTCTCGAAAAGAGAAGGGGTGTAACACCAGCGCCCTGGACAAATTTCCCATTGGCCCTTACCAATCATGGCCTCCTAATAATCCCCCTCTATGAATTGGCTTCATTACTCTCTGCTCTCCTCCCCACTAATAGCTGATGTGTGGTGAGCGTTCTGGCGCACTATGGCTGCCTTCGCATCATCCAGGTGGATGCTGCACATTGGTGGTGGTGGGGAGGAGTCCCCATTATCTGTAAAGCGCTTTGAGTGGAGTGACCAGAAAAGCGCTATATAAGTGTAAGCAAGTATTATTATTAATTATTAACACAATCCGGGGAGGAGAGAGGAATATACAGGGAAAAAAGCATGCAAAGGGAATGGAAGGAAAACAGGGGGCGTGTCCATGGTGTGCTGGTGTTCGGGGGAGGTGTGGCCGAGGCAAACTGTCCAAGGGAATCCGAGGCAAATCCATGAGTGTAGCAAAAGTCCAAGACCAGGTAATCCATCCTGACAGACAAACAGAGGTAAAAGCAGGAGTGGGATCCGGCGGAGGGTCGGGGGAATAAAAGGGGGTAATGGGACCAGACGCTCCCTAATCCTGGACTCAGAAGGTCAGGACGCCGTCATAAAGCCTGTGCCGTCGAGTCGCTCCTGGACTCACGGATAGGCGGGCTTCCGGGCATCCATCTTCCAAAGCTGAGCCCAGATTGGCAGGAAAGTCTGGCTTTTAAAGCCCGCGGGACAGGAACCGGAGGCAGGTGCAGGGGATCAGTACTGAACAAGGAAGGGCTGGAGTGTCCTTAAAGGAGGGGTTTACGATCGTGACATGTCAGTCATGTTTTGCAGTTTCTTTGGTGGTTTATTTGTGCTCTTTGACATTGAAAATATTTGCTTTCTTTCAAAGACAGATTGTCTCTGGAAAATGATCCTGTGTGTAGACAGAAAATTCTTTCTGGCTTTATTGAAACTCTCAAAGATGAAATAATCAGTAGGAAATTACAGTGTGTTATGATTTTTGTCATTATTTTATTTTAATTGTTCTTCAGCATTCACCCTTCAGTTGTCCTTAAGCAGTAACATATTTCCCGTTAACCATACAGATATAAAAAAGTATCAAACAGATACAGATATGAGAAGTATCAAACTGAAGGGAGAAAACTCACCTATAACAAATACAGCATGACTTGTCTACTCATGCGAGTTAATTCCTGTATTTTCATTGATTGTATTTACCTGAAAACAACAATCTGAACAGGCTATCAAGTTTCTAATGTAATGGAATTTCCAGTATTCTACTATTGCTTGCTAACAATCATTCAATTATCTGTTATCATGCTGAACCCACAGTGCTGTGAGCTTAGCAGGATTTTTTATCATCAATTCCATTTTAATTAAAATGCTGAAAGTAAAAGGACACTTCAGAACTTAACCTCCCCAAGACCTTCATGCTCCATTAAAGAGCAAAAAAAGCATCAAGGTGTCTTTTCACATATAAAACTAATGTAAACGTGGAGAACGTATTGTATGGTCAAATATATTTAAAAAAATGAATATAGTTTTTTTTTCTCATGGTTGCAGTTATTTTCTGTTTGGCTTTTCAGAGCCTGTTGATATGAATTTTTAACATCTTAGAAGAGATACACCTTGTATTCAGATAAATATAATATAATTATAATGTTATGAAATATTCTAACCAGTGTCCTAGCATACCTTAGATAAGCCTCATTTTTATTTTTCAGTATTTTTTTATTTTGCTTCAAAGAAGTGTTGAAAAGTGTCCCTTCATCGGTGTAGAAACAATCCCTTTAAAGTATAAATTAAAGAGGAAAGAATTAATAACAAGTAAGTTAAATTTGTTAATTTGGATCTACCCAAAAAGAGGAACTATGCAGCTAACAATGGCTGAGTAAACCTAAAACACCATGTGTTAGAACATTTGACAGTTAGAACATTAATTCAGGTTTTTTCATTTAACCATCTGATAGTATACAGTATGTGCAATACCTTATTTTCATTTATGTACTATATATTTGATGTCCAATATTTTTTCTCAAACTGTAAAGCAACGGGATCTGTCTTGTGCAATAAATCTCTGCAGCTACAGCACAGATTGTACCAATTGTGTATCCAACACAATAGGACTTGTTTATCTGTTTCTCCCATTCAGGATGCATTTAAGTACTCATAAATGCCAAAGGATGTTCTGCTTGCCACTCGGTTTCTGTGTAATGTATGCATTGATCCATTAGAAAGCCTTTCATTCTTTTTCCCATTCTACTTTCATACAGTATATAGGATTGTAAATTGAGTCCGGCACCTATTAAGCTAAAAACGCCTTTATTGGCATTGTGTTTGACGGATGTGTCTATACTTTAACATTTCACCATAAATCAAGGCATTCCTCGCTTGTGTAAAGAAAAATATAATTAATCCTTTTACACAAAAGACTTCAGCAGCTCTCTAAGAAAAAGAATTAACATTGCTTTGTGGCAATTGATTGTGACTGTATTCTTGGCTGACAACAAATTTAACTCTTACCCTAGAAAATTATTATATATTTCACTAAGTGTTTAGACACTCATTCTGATGTGTCTGTTTTATCCCGCTGCATTTCAGTGTAAGATAGCTCTCTACATCTCACATAATTTTGTGTTGCTGAATATCTAATGTTATTGTTTTTGTATTATATATCAATCACATCTAATACTGTTGTAATATTTAAAACTGTCTTTGAAACAGTCGAAACTATTGTTAAAACTGGAAGAGCTGAAATTTGTCTTTGCAATCTGATGTAGGCAGACAAGAGAGATTTGCACTTATACTTTCAGACTGGTAGATATAAACTGAACTGTTTCATGACGTTTCTGACAAATGTCCTTCTCAACTTGTTTGGAAAGAAATGTAGCCAAAGTGGTATGAACTTGTTCAAAACTGTCTTTGCCTTCTGTCATTAATTTGTGCACAGCTGTTCAACCTACTACTAAAAAAAAATAGAAAGACACTGTTCAAATGTCTTAAATCTTTGTCAGCTCCAATTCCTGTGTCCCACCATTCCTTCATTTGCCTGAGAATAAAAATTGATTTATTGTTGTGAACCATGTCTCCAAAGATCTTTTCACTA